TTACTGCATTTAGAAGACAGCCGGATTTAAGGGAGAGTTCACAACTCTTTCCCAGGTGCTTAATGAGCTTTTTGAGGACTGAGCATTTTAGTAAATTGTTGTTGGTCTGCAGTTTTAAAGATAAGCTTCCTGGCAGGAAAATGGTTTCCTAAATTTTTATATTTCTAAATGCCTTTAATCTACAGTACTTTTCAATCTTCAATCCCCATAACTCAAACAGTATGTTAAAGATTAACTGAGCCCTAGGATATTTGGAGGGAAAAAAGCCTGAGTCATTAAATCTTTTTTTGTTTTTGTTTTTCGAAATGAGGTTTCTCTGTGTGGCCCCAGCTGTCCTGGAATTCACAGTGTAGACCAGGCTGGCCTTGAACTCATAGAGATTTGCCTGCCTCTGCCTCCCAAGTGCTGGGATTAAAGGCTTGTGCCACTACCACCCAGTGAGTCATTAAATCTTATCTCATGATTTTAAATCCTTGGCTTTCTAGAATTCTTACAGAGGCTCCCAGAGGCATTGACTCAGTATGTAATAGAACCTGTTGAATGCCTCCAGACATTAAATAATGTATTAAGGTCAGGTGTTAGGTGGTAAAGCCAGGATTTTGAGGAAGTTGTCGGGCTCCAAGATGACTGATCACCTTTATGGTGGCAATATATTGTTCCGATCCAAAGATCCAAAGAGGTGTATTTGAGACCCTAGCTACTGTATATTCATCATTGTGCTGGACAATAAAGACATACATGTAAACGGGTTCTGTCGCACACGTGCGTGTTTGCGTGTGTGCGTGTGTGTGTGTGTGTGTGTGTGTGTGTGTGTGTTTATGTGTTTATTCTGTGTTTGGAACAGGATCCTACCCAGTTCAGGCTGGGTGGGAACTCTGTGGCTAATGATGACCTTGAACGGACCCTCTTTTCTACACCTTAATATTAAGACCACAGGCAGGCCCCACCACACTTCGCTCTGGGAACTTTATTCAATGAAATCAAATCGTAGTTAGAATAGGGAGAGATTAAATTTGTGATCTTTTAATTAAATGGATACTAAATAATCTACATGGCATTTTAAACCAACGTTTGACATTACATCGGTTGTATAACATTCAGAAAATGTGGTAAACTGAAGTATCTCAGTGAATCAGTGGAAAGTAATCGTTAATTAAATTAAAAAAAAAACCTTATTTTATTTCAAATGCCACGGGCCTATAATTTGAATATATAAGAACAAGTCGAAGCATTCTTGCTCCAGTGTCTCGGTCTAGTTTAGAGTCTTCTCAAGTCTTGGAGAACTGAGCGACAACCTCCAACTCCACCTCCAAGAGCTGGGATTATAGACCTGCACCTATGTGCATGGCTTTCCTTAATTCCCTTTTTTTCCTTCCCTCTCTTCCTTCCTTCCTATCAGGCTGGTCTCAATCTCAAAAAAGATAAGGCTGACCTCAAGATTTTGGCAATCCTCCGGCCCGGGTTACCCTAGTGCCGGGATTACAGACACCTGCCAGTTCCAACAAGACCAAGAAAACCTGCGAACTATGTAAATTAGGACTAGGAATTTGCGGTTTTGATTGGGACAAGTCTTGGAAGGCGGGCCCTCTGCTCGGGCGAGCTGATTGGGAGCGGCGCCTGCCTGTCACAGGCGGCCGCGGCTGCAGAGTTTGGCGAGGTAGTTCCGGAGTGGCGCACGGCATCCCGGAACTGAGCGGGCTGGTGTTGGAGCTGTCGGCGCCGGGTCGAGCATGTCGGGGCGAGGCAAGCAGGGCGGCAAGGTGCGCGCCAAGGCCAAGTCGCGCTCGTCGCGCGCGGGCCTGCAGTTCCCCGTGGGCCGCGTGCACCGGCTGCTGCGCAAGGGCAACTACGCGGAGCGCGTGGGCGCGGGCGCGCCGGTCTACCTGGCGGCGGTGCTGGAGTACCTGACGGCCGAGATCCTGGAGCTGGCGGGCAACGCGGCGCGCGACAACAAGAAGACGCGCATCATCCCGCGCCACCTGCAGCTGGCCATCCGCAACGACGAGGAGCTCAACAAGCTGCTGGGCCGCGTGACCATCGCGCAGGGCGGCGTCCTGCCCAACATCCAGGCCGTGCTGCTGCCCAAGAAGACCGAGAGCCAGAAGGTGAAGAGCAAGTGAACCCGACGGGTACCGAGCCCGCCGCAGTCCGCAGCCAATAAAGTCGGTCAAAAGCGAGTAATCCGGAGAGCTGTGTAGTCGCGGGACCGACGGGGTGCTGGGTGGGGACGCGTCCCGAGCTTGAGCTGGACGCGGGCCACCCCTGAGGCCATGTGGGAGCCGGAGGGGACCCAGGAGGTGGGTTGGGAGCCTCCCCCCACCCTTCGCACCACAGTAGGCAGGACAGACGGGGAAGGTATTCTGGAATTAACTTTGCCTAACTGCCCAGGCCTTCGCAGGAGGGAGTGGTAGGAGAGGTGTTTCCAGCTATGGGCAAGAAGTTGCCTCGCTGGCCATACTTAGAAAGGTTGAGCTACTTGGAAAAGACAACTTAGGGACCTTGGTGGGTGCTAGGAATTTAGTTAGGATCGATAGTCTTTTAAGCTAACAGATACTACTATCCATGATCTGAGTACCAGCCACCTTCACCTTACACCCTTGTGTTCACGTTTCTTTAAAATGAAGTAACTTGTGCAATACGGAAGTGAGTCATGAAGATTGCTCCCTGGGCGGTGTTGCATAACGGCGGGGCCCTCAGCCTCTAGCGTGTTTAGCAGCTTTTAAAATTGTCTCTCTGCTCATGGTGGCGCACGCTTGCCACGGGGAGTCACGTCGTTCGTGGCTGCTGAGTTCGGAGGCCATTCCTGAGCCACGTTAGGAACATGTCTCAAAATACATACACACATTTCCTCCTCAAGCTTTAGCTTCATAACAGCATTGCCTTTCGAAATTGGCTTGATTTTATTTAGAATTAAAGCCTACTTTAGGGATAACTCTTAATAACTCCCCAGGAGTCCCGTTTTTCCCATTAGCTGTAGAGTTGTGTAATGCCCCGGTAAGGAAAGGAAAGGTCATGTGAGGTAAGAGCAAGGAGAAACACGTAGGTCCCTGGAAACGCTCTTCTTCCCTTCTTGGCCATTCCATTTCATTCTCAGTAACTGTCATTCTGCCCACAGGGTCCACAAAAACCACCCCAGGGTAGGTTTCACTCTGGGTTCATTTTTTTCCTGGGAATCGGTTGGCGTCTTCCCTTCATTTGTAGTGGCTGGCCCATTTCCCCTCATCCCCAGTGGGGGAGTCCAGCAGCGGAGGAGGCCAGCTAGGTTGCCACTGTCCCAAAACCCACATTTTTTTTTTTCATGGTTCCTGAAGACAGGAAATAGGACAAATAAATAATATATTACAAACCAGTGTCTGTATTTGGTTCTCTGCAGTTGGTCGAGTGGATATTGGAATTACTCTCTGTGGTAATCTTGAAAGATGTACAAAGATCACATCACACACACCTCATAAAGAGGTAGATTGCTCCCTCTGACACCTGAAGAGAACAGACTTCAGTGGCATTATGGGCAGTTTCAGGAGGTAAACTTCATACCTGTTTGGAGGACTAAGATGATTTTAGTACCATGTATTAGTATTAGATCCTTACATTGAAAAATGCCATCTCCTACAAGGACCAAGGGTTTGCGTTTGTGACTTAAATTCTAGGTAAACATGTAGGTTATTATGTGAACCAAGATAGTGAACAAATGTCTACTCAGCTGGTGGAGCACCAAGGTCAGAAATAGAAATGTGACCACCCACGTATAGCTTGGTGAACCAATTGGGGCTCCTTACAAAAGCATAAGGCAACGTGAAGGAAAAGAGCCACTGTTTGTAAAT